GTATTCCCAGATAGTAACCCAGCATAGAACTGGGAAAATGAACAGCAGACCCCAATCTTATCCAAAGGAATATAGATAACTGATTACCGCTAGATGAAGAACAGGTGACCCTCCTAAAACAAAGACCTCTAGATAGGCTGACTAGATTCACCAGAACGGCAAGTAGTGGGGAATGGCTGGGGGTGCTGACAACACAGCAGACAGTAGCAGGGATATCAGAGTATAAGGGCTCTAGTGGGGGGAGGGAGGCTATGGGAGGGTGCTACCTGGGAAGCGGGTCACCTTTTTTTAACTCAAAAAAAAGTCTAAAGAATCAAATGTCACACAGACACACAAATAGGCTCATACACATACAGGCATACACAGGCACATACAGCACACACACACACACACACACACACACACACACAGGCACATACAAAAAGACAAGCATACACATGCACAAAAACACAAGCATACACATACACTGGCACACACAGACACACACAAACACACACAGACATGCACAAGCACATGCACACAGAGAGAGAGAAAGAGAGAGAGCTCAGCTCAAAAACCATTATTTACTGAGGAAAATCCTAAAAGCATCTCCACAAAAATCAGGATACAGATGAGAAAACCACTGCTGCCTAACTTTGTAAACACTCTAGGCTCAAGTATTAGCCAATAAAATACACAAGAGGAAAGTACACTTGGTAATCACTACTACAGGAAAACAAAATGTAAAGATAAAAGTTGGAAAAGACAAAACATATTTGCAGATGCAGCAAGTGAAATGTCAAAACTAAGAATCCAATTTGATATAAAATTAATGTACAGAAATTTATAACCTTTCCATATACATACACATACATGCAATAGTCAGAAGATATAAAGGAAGAGTCCACTTATCACAGAAACCAAAGAAATAACAGAGCTGGAAGTAAGCAGGAGGAATAGGTGGCCGGTTGGCAGTGTTTGGCACTCTTTGAGCATCCCATCCTTGCCTGTGGCACACTGCTGGGTGCACCTAAGTCTGGCCCCTGCTTGGTGTCCTTTGCTGCTGCTCTTTCCTTTATCTCTCCTTGCAGAGTACACTAGAACACTGTTGCTGTTCTCCCCCAGCCATCCTCGTCTTGAGGGTTTAAACACCATCTACATGATGAAAACAAATGTTTATCTCCCACTCGCACTTCTTCCCTTGGGTGCAATTTGTCATCTCCTCCTCAGTGTCAAATGCTCATCTAAAACAAAATTTGTTAGGTTGTTGTTATTGCTTGCTTGTTTGCCTGTTTCTTTTCCTTTTTGAGACAGGGCTGTATTAGCCCAAGGCTTGCCTGGAACTCCCTAGTAACTGAGGAAAACCTGGAACTTCTGATCCTACCACCTTCACCACTTCCTGAGTTGTGGGATTACAGACCTACGCCATCATATCCAATTTATGTGGTGCTGAGACTAACCCAGAGTTCTCTGCATGCTAGGCAGGCACTCTACCAACTGAGCTGCATCCCTAGCCCTGAAGCAAATTTTAAATGAGGATCTCCTCTTTCCCAAAGTCTTTCTCTTAATCTCCCCCTTTCCAGGAGGATAGCTGCTCATTCTTCTATGGCTCAAGTCAAAAATCTTAGACATTCTTTATGCCCCTATTCACACCCTATATCCAGAACCATCACTAAGTATTAGTTCTACCTCCAAAGCATGTTAATATTCAAACACACCTGTCACTGCCACTACCTTCCCTTGACTAAGCTGCTCTCTTCTCTAGCCTACACAATATAACAGCCTCATAACTAGCGTCTCCTTTTCACTCTTGTCTACTATGAACATGACCACCACAGGGTTCTATTTTAAAACAGAAATTCAGTGCTGTTTCTCCATGCAAA